AAATTGACACCCTTAAATAATTAGGAGCAACACTTAACCTAAATCCTCCATTAATTTCTTCATCCCAAATGGTACATCTACACATCTATAGATGTACCATTAGCTAATAGTTTGGCAATTAAAACTTTAAGGTAAAATTAAGCACCTTAAGGACAAAAGCACTCCAAAAAATAACCTGTTTTGGCACTTTTTCCTAGGTCAAGAAATTCTTATTGCAAAACTTGGAAAGCAGCAATTAAGAAAGCACTACAAATTCAAAAACTTGAACATGTCTTCTAGACAAAAGACATGCCAAAAATCTTAACTACTATGTAGGTGTGCCTGCTGCTCAATTTAGTTTATGACTACAAAAAGAAAGGGCGCAAAGTTTATAACTGGCTGGAAAAGAGTTCCTTCCTCCACTAGCTAGTCTGAAGCCTGAATATTTAGCTCCTTTGTGTGGAACTTACTCTAATTCATGTGTGATCTCTGCTCTGAAGATCTCTATCATCTCTTGAATTATCTCACCTCAGTGATAACATGAGAATAAAAAGAGAAAAATTAGTCAAATTCTGTTTATACTTCTTTGTCTCAAATCAAAACCGCTTCAAACAATCATGCAATGACACCTGCTTTCTTAAAAAAAAGCACTTCATGAAGTATTTTTGGAGCAAATTAATTTTCTGTAAAATTCATATGCAGAAAATTTACTCTTTTGTGTCTTTTATTAAGCAAACATAGCATAAAAAGAAAAGATTAATGAGAAAAGCTAATTTTATTGCATGTCAAATATTTAGTTCTTGAATTACACTGAGATTGGAGAGGTCCAGATCAAACTGTAATGCAACAGGTAAGAAAGATTGCAGGATGATTATGAAAGCTCAGGAATGAACTGTTAATTTACCTTTGTAATACCATGTAGGCTAAAAAATTGCATTATTGAAAAGAAGTTCACTTGCACAGAAGGAAAGCTATTGAACATCAGATCCAAACTTTTTTCCAAATGCTCAAAACAATCTTTATTAACCTACAATTGTTTCCCAAGTCTCTGAAAATGTTCCTTACAGATTTTAAGTGACTGATAAGTCAACATTCCCCACACTATTTAAACCAAGTTGACACTTGTTGCAAAATTTCTTGTCCATAAGTTAGAAATATTATCACAAGGTGAGTTTTCCCACAAGTTACTAGTACTGTGAGAATCCTTCTTACTTCTTTTGTGAAAGGGTTAAAATAATTTCATATACATGATGAATGTCTAATGTCCAAAATTATTTCCCTTAACAAATTTACACAGAACAGCGTGCATTTTTCCAAATGATTCAAGAGTTCATCTTAAACTGATCTAATGAGAAGAAAAAAAAAAAAATAGATGTCAGTAATTCTTCAAAAACAAGCAAATTGAAAGCCTGAATTAAATCAACAACAATAACCTTCTGGATAACCAAAGAGTAACAACACACAACACCTAAAGAGGTCACTTTCCCTTTCTACCATCACTACACTATTTAGCTCAGTATGTGAATATGAGGAAAAAAAAGTCATTAACTGTTGCATACCTGTGGAACTCTTGTAGAATTGTCTCTATTTGCACTGCTAAAATAGCCTCCTGTGTGGCTTGCCTTCACCTTCAAAGAAGGTTATGTCTTGCAGATGTTTCACTTTTCAGATCTGACTAATGCAGCAAAAGTAATGTGGAAAAAGGTGGCTTCTTATTGCTTGTAAGTATTACAAAAATAGCACAGATTAAGATGTGTTTATGTGCACCAGGTATCTTTGCTATATGCCAGCAAAACTTTCAGATGCATAATACTCTTTTGTATATTTGCAATGCGTATTTTCTTCACTAGTTGAACAATACAATATAAGAACCAGGATACTGGAGACCTCGATCAAGATCCTGGTGGATGACATCACAAGTTGAAGTACTTTCTACTTAAACAAGCATTTGAAAAAAACAACCAACCAACCAAACCAACCCAAAAAACAAACCGCAAACCTATTGTAATGTACTTTGTACATGGGGAACTCTTTGTCCTTGTACCTATTCCAAAGAAAGATTTATACTGGATTCACTCTCAGAAATATAATGTACTTAGCAACTGCAGAGCAAGAGCACCACTCGGTGGAACTATCAAAACACTACTGGTAAAGTCCAAGTTACACATTCATAGAACTGCAGCAAAAAGAGTTCCAGGTAATTCTACTAGGACAAAAAAAAAATGCATTATTTTTCTCAGAAAAAAATTAGGAGAAAAGACTGCTAGCTTTAGTCCATACTACAGACTAAATATGGACTTAATTGCTAATTATTAAGAAATATTACTACTTATAAAATACTTGTAACATTTTGTGGTTTCCCAAAAACACAAGTTATAATTCCCAAAAAGAAGACTTATGGCCATAAAAAAAAGACATTCTCTAAAATTTGGAACTTGGTATTTTTAAAATTTAATTCACAAATATTTATGCAAAGTTACATAATTTGGAACACAATTGCACAACCAAGTGCAGGCACACGACAGTTTCTTCTTAGGCATAATGACAAGCACTGAAGTTCCTTCCTCTCCTTATCAAAAGGCAGAAAAGATACATACAAGCTCTTGACAGCTAAATTACTTCAGGACAGAGTATGCTACCTGTGGAACCTCAGATATTTGGAAGACAGTACTTTTGTAATGATGCATTTTGCATTCCCATGTCATACACTGTGAAGCTTGCCACTGTGAATTCAGACTGTGGATATAATGACTGGCCCTAACAGCCCCATTTTCTGTTAATATACACCTAGATGCCTGACAAAAGAGGAAGAGATGGACGAAACAGCCATGATAAAAGGCCCATGTTCAGGAATCCTATCAGGCCGCATCTGTCAATAGATTATTTCACATTGATCATCCAGACATACAGTTTTTCAGTATCACTTTATTACAAAAGCACCAATTTAATGCCATAATTTAGACTTTGGAATCACAAACATCTTCAGGATTAACCACCATTTTTCTCTCTATGGGTAAAACCACTGAAGCCTGTTTGTACCACATCTCAAAGTGTTACTTGGTCTCATCTGCTCATACTCACAACTCAAACGCTCACAGCTGCTGAGTACAGCTACCCAGAGGCATGTGGCAACATTTGCTTATGTAAGAGGTCATCTCCTGCCATCAACAATTCTAGGACACATTGGCAGGAGCTTCTCTTGCTACTGAAGAAGTTAGGAACTGAATGTGGTATCTAAACCCTCTTTTAACTAACTAAAAATTGAGTTCAGTTTCACTGTTTTCCCTATATTTCTGCTGAGATTAAACGCAGCAGATACCTGATACCAAACCCCCCTTTGAACTTCAGCTTCACGTTGTTATTTGGGAACCCTAGGACACGCAGTCAAAAAGCTCTATGACAGGAGCAGAACAGCAACCAAAACATCATCAATACTATGAACTCAGGATATTTTTTTCCTAAATTTAGCCAGCTAAAGTTAACATAACTAAGAGTAAGCTACAATATATACCAACAGCCTAACTTTGATTCTATACCTCTTAGGACAGCACTGACTAAGGACACTGAACAGAGAATAGACTCAAGATACACGGTAGAGGAACCTTGATTTGTTCTAACACTGCCTGTAGATTGAGCAATAGATCAATGAACATTGAGTTACCCACTGTTTCAGAACTTAACATGAGAGAAACCAGAAAGAAATAGTGAACAAAAAAGTAAAAAATACTAGAGAAAAGAAGCAATAGAGATGAGGTTTTTTGGTTTGTTTTTTTTTTTTTTTTAATAAAGCCAGCTAACAATGAAGTTAAATATTTTTTATAGTAACTACAAAAGAACTGAGACTTTCTGATTTTCACTATTTAATTAGTAATTAGGAAGCCTTGCAGTAAGGCCTGTGGCAAGCCCAGCCAAAGCATTTCCAAGAGTACTGGGTCTGGGCGGTAATTCTTTTCATAGCAGCCTGTACGGCACTGTGTTTTAATGCGTCCAGTACCAGCAGTGTCTGCAGGGTGTCAAGGCCTCCTCTATCACTCTGCCTCCCCAAAAAGGCAAAGGGTGTGCAAGACACTGGGAGGAGATACAGCCAGGACATCACTTGTTTTTTTGCCTGGGAGAGTTATGATAAAAGACCCAGCCTTGAACTGAATCTGGTATTTGGGCTCTCCATTACAGCAGTCCCTTCAGGGGTGTGCCTGCTCCAGCACAGCTTGGTGTAGGGTCCTCCACAGGCTACACTGTGGTCTCACAGGCTCACCATCATCTTGAGAATAGGGTCTACACTAGATAGTGAGTCACAGAGAAGAACTTCACTTTGGATTGGAGTAAAGTTTCTGTGCATGTTAGCTAAACATACCAATCCGAAAATGTACGCTTGTAATAGCCATTAAAAATGTGTAAAGTGATCATAGAGAAAGTTATCCAGTCAGGGTTTATTTGAACCTTTACCTTACTACAGAAATTATTTCGTAACGTAGAACATAGGGCAAACTGAAGACTGTGAAGAGAGATGTTCTAAGAACACAACTATTAGTGTCATATCTGGTTAAACATTTGAGGAAGATTTGCAAAAACTAAAATTCCAGAAAATCATAAATCCCAGAACTAAAAGATCTCCATAAAACTGTATTTAAAAATACACTTTGCTACTTTTCTAATTTATAATTTGGGTCCTGAAGTTCACCAATACAGTCAGGTGAGTGCAACATTTCATACAAATAAGTAGGCAAACAACGTTTGTAAAGTTCAGCCTTTTAGCAGAGGCACCTCCAATGTTCCACCCGCGCTGCACACAGCCAATCTCTTGACGCCTGTTTGCTACATACTGGGCCTGATGCTGACACATAAAATGTCCATGCTCACGAGGCAAGAGAGTGACAGTCACAGTCTGTACAATTCTCATGGGGATAGATCCCACTGTCCCTAGCTGGAAGATTATCCATGCTTCTACCTAGCAGACAGGAAATCCATAAACCCAGCACTTAAACATTACAGAATCTGTTTCGGTCACCATAACAACTTACCTGGTAAAGTAGTCTTCATGATATCAACACCAACTTGAAGCTCAGGCTCAGCTGCAAGAACTGCATAATCTCCTTGATGAGAGACATTGAAGTTGTAATTAGGATAGATACTGACTACATTATTTGCCAGGAAAGGTTTTCCTTTTGACGTCCTTTGCAAGTGTATTTCATTCCAAGGTATGCACAACTTTTCTGCAATTAATTTCCGTATCAGCAGGCGACCAGCCTATGAAATAAAATGGATGCAATTAATACAGAAATATTATGCTATCTGCAAACTATCTGTGGTTGCTAGATATCCACCTGCCTACAAAAATGTGGCTTTATTATAGCCGATACAAAGTACGAGTATACTTCAGCCAAATCTTTTATATTTCTCCCGTGTCAAGCACATACCAAGTAAATTTAACCAGGTACAGCATACATTTATTATTATTATTAGCACAGACAACACAAGACCAAATAAAAAGCACTCCCAACCTAGATGAATTGTATAACATGGTTCCTTCTCTCCCTCATTTGCTTTCCTAGGATACTTTATTGCACAGATGAAGACTTTTTTTATACCACACTGAACAACAAAACTGTCTCAACAGCTTTCCTCCCTTTAGTACCTCCAGTCTATTACTGAGGTGCAAAATGAACTGAACAGCTAAAAATGATAAGGAACTTCTTACAGGCCAATCAGTAGAAATCTGCATTACTACCACATTGTTATGTGAGATTTAAAAGCAGAATTATGCAAACCAGCTTTATGCTCTTACACATCACACTACTGTCTTCACGTATGGTCTCCTAGAGTACACCGATTTTGCCTCCTAACTTGACATCACGACATAAAACTTGTGAAGTCTTTCACAGTAAATACTAACAGACTGCAAATATCCCTTTTTCCACTTAAGTGGAGGTACAAGTGGAGCCGGCAGTCAGCAGTTCGTAATGCATTTACTCCCCTGAGAGGCGTATTTTCCGAAGGAAAGTCAGAAATTTGGGCGATACATAATCTGCAGCGACACCCGCGCCCCCATGGGAAAGCGCGGGCCCCTGGGCCGCGAGCGGTGCCAGCGGGGTTCCGCAGCCCAGCGGGGGCCCGCG